TCATCCTCAATGCTCACTCACTTTCTCAATACAGCTATCATATTTACATGACATGTGATGGTTCAAGAAGAGGCTTTGACTCTCGTCTCTACAAGCCTACCATTACACATAAGGATAATATAGTTCCTTAACTCTCTACCCTAAGTAACTCCAACTTCATCAAGGGATAACTCTACTAACTCTCGCTGGTTGTGCTCTATGCACAACTAATTAAGAGTTTTCAAACTCAATTGGCCTAACGCGTTAAATCTAGTCTGAGTATCGACAAATAACATTTGTCTATCTTGGTCTAATTGCACCATACTCCCACTGAAGTTTTGTTTCACTATATCAAAATATTGATTACATGCTCTCATAAAGCCTTTACTGGCCCCAAATGCCCAGAATTTCTTATGTGTGTGGCCACAAAATATTCTCATTCAATATATAACTAAAAATTAAAATACATCAAGAATATGCCTTATCATCAAGAATAACATGGAACTTATTGTTCTTAATTCTTTTTCCTTTGTCTTTTTTTTTTTTGGTCAAAAAGAAGATTCCTCCGCTTAAATAAATAGAAGGCCCTCTAACAAATTCCTTGTTGGTTCTCCTTCTCTTGTGGACTTTAAACTTTTAAATCATAACCATATATGTGACTGCCATTACTCTAAGGCTTCTAGTTTCGTATGTTGCTCTGGGTAAACCCACATTGCTTTTTTTTCTTTATTTTCCTTTTTTTTCATGCAATTGCAGAGAAGTTGTACTTTAGCTTGGTTCTATATGTTCATCCATGTTTATTTCCTCCCTCTTTTTCTTCTTCTCTTTCTTTCTTTTTTCTTCATTTATTTTTTTTTTATTTATTTTTTATTTTTTTTAAACTAAGTAGTTTGATCTCGGCTTTATTTAGTAGCATTATTTCTTCTTGGCTCTTTATCAATCAATCGTTTTATTAATATTCAATTTTTTTTTACTCGCTTAACCTGACAGGCTGAGTAGTGTATATGGCCCAAAAGACCCTAAAAAGATAAAAACAATTCAAAAAATTATTTTAAAATAAATAAAAATACAAAGTGAAACAAAAGTGTAATGCACAATAAAAAGTTTAAAAAAAATCTCAAAATATACATACTGCATTATTAAGCCAGACTTAAGAGGTGAACACATGTGTCAAAAATATAAAAAGCCCTAACTTTATAAAAATAGTAGGATACATTCTCATCTTTAAGAGAAAAGAGGTAGAATACGTGCCTATTTTAAAGATCACGATTCTTACGGGAGATAATGAAATCTAATTTAAAATGATGGTTGTTATCACTTGAGAGTTGAGAGAGACAGAGATTCCTGATTTCATGAAGAGAGGCTAAGTTGCTATTTCTTGAGAGTTGAGAGAGAGAGATTTTCATTTAAGGAAGAGATGCTAAGAGAGAGAGAGAGAGTTTTGATAGGGTTGTTGCCTTATAAAAAAGAGTAAAGCCTCACCTTAAAGCTTGCCAAAAATCGTAGTTCTAGCATTCAAAAACCTTCAAATCCATTATCTGATCCTTGACCGTTATGTTTGTGAAGAAAAAAATTTTAGATTTGAAGCTCTAAAAATAGTGTATATTGTAAAACAATATTTAAACCATCTATTTTACCCTAAAAATAAAGTTTACGGATCCGCAAGATCCGTACCATTTTTGAGCTTCAAATTTCATATTTGGTATTGGAAATTGATTTTAAAGGCATCACCAAGATTTCTAATGCTCAAAGTGCTTTCTGGAGGACGATTTGAGGCGAAGCTTTACTTTGTTTTTTTACCTTTATTTAACTAGTGTGATTTGCATAAGGTTGAGGCCCTAAACTATCATAATAAGGCGCACCTTCAAATAGTATTAAAATATGTTGTTCTAGTATCTGAAATCTTTGTAAAGCCCTAAAAATTTATTTTCATCTCTAATTATAAAATTTAAAGTTTAAAAAAAGTGTAGATCGAGCAAATCTATAAACACTTGATAATCTTGAATTTCGGTAGTCTAAAAAATCCATTACATGATGTATTATTTCCAAGACTTAAAATCCATTGATTCTCATGTCTATACATCTTGAGATCTAGATGATCAATTTGAGCATTTTTGAGTATCCAAACATCTTTTAGTGAATTTTTGAGGTGTGCCCTCATTTGATTATTTAAGGCCTCACCGTTCTATAAACGTTTTCCATATTGGAATAGTTACGATTAAATAAAATATTCAATAATTTATCTTTTATAAACATATTTTAATAAATTTGTCTTTTTTTAATGGGTGAGGTTTGTATAGAGCCGAGGTTCTAAACATTCAAAATGAAGCCCACCTTCAAATAGTATCGAGAAATATAGTTTCAATGCTAAAATCTTGGTGATAACCTTAAAATATATTTCCATATCTAATTACAAAATTTAGAGAGCTTAAAGAATACTGTAGACCAAACAAATCTATGAATACTTAGAAAATCTTAAAAATTGACACTAAAAAAAAATGTTACAAGATGCACGGTTTTCAAAACTTAAAATCTTTTTTTTTTGATGTCACATCTTGATGACCAATGATCAATGTGATGATATTTAGAAATTAAAACAAGTTCTTTGAGTGAAATTTTTGAGGTAGGCCCTAATTTGTCTATAAAATTTTCCGTGTTCTAAAGTGTTCCCTTTTCTAATCGCGTATCCCAGCGTTTTAAAAAACGCCGAGTCGAACCGGACTCGCCCGGTTCGACTCGGAATTCGCAAAAAGGGACCGGATCGGTTGAAAAATCGGAAATCGTCCGGCTCTAGAGAGAACCGGACGATTTCGCACAGTGACTCGCTGATTCACTGTACGGAATCGGCGAGTCCGAACAGTGAATCGGAGAGTCCGTAAGGAATTTTTTTTTTTTTTTTTTTTTTGTTGTGTGTGTGTGTGTGTAATCCATGATAGATTTTTTTTGTAATAC